AGACGATCTACCGCTTCTGAAGCCGCCAGCAGCTTGGTCTGACCTTCATCGAGGCCGGAAATCACATCCTGAAGATGGGCAAAGACAAACAATTAAATTTGTTCGATTAAAGTCTGCCTATGTAAAAAGATGATGCAACCTTTGGGAATGACTCTTTAGGAAGCATCATTTTTTTGAGTTACATTATTCTGAATATGTTGAAGTTCATTTTATTCTACTTGTTCATACACCACAGCCAAACCCTTCAAGCAAACCGAGGGGCTAGGAATTAGGGGGAGGGGCCTGAAACTTGCAGTGAGATTTCGTTACCTAAGCAACAAGCATACAAGTCAAATATATTTCTCTTTGTCTTGATAGGAGCACGATGGAACCGGCAACCCATCACGGGATGCCAAACTATTTGACGCCGAAGATTTCATGTAAACTGGATCTAAAGTACTAAATTCTGTCACGAGTTTAATTTGTAGGACCCTTGTAAAATCTCAGTCTTCCTCTTGGCATTTGAGCAATCCTTACGAATTTTCGGTAGAAGCTATGCCTCGTTTACTGGCGCAGTCATGCCTTTTAACTGGAAGAGGATGGGTTTTTTTATACAAGGACCCATGGAGAAACTATGGTCTCCTTCCCTGTCGTGGCTTATCTCATTCTCCCCGGTCGACCTGTCGCCCTTGGGTATCATTTGAGAATCCTATTATTTCTGCCTCCTGGCAAGCAGCTGCTTGTCAGAGTCCAATGAACATCAGCCCCTCGGTAGTGTGATGGTACCTATCATGTCCCAAATGTAGAAGGGGAATTCTGGCAAATTCAGTCGAGCCAATCTCCACTGCCATCTTTCTTGTGGGAAAAGGTCTCTAAGTTGTGCCAAGCCAACTCAGTTTAGCAATGCTCTCGTTTCCCGGCAGTCTCCTGTGCAGTTTCGAGAGGATTATTAAAATCTTTCAAAAGTGGTAAACAAAAGGTATTTTGAGAGTGGCCTAAAAATATGCTTTTAGCCCATACTCGATCTTTAGACAGTATCAAGTCTTTGGATGCATGGTAAGCCCTATATTTTAAAGAACTAACCTTGATCACCTCCTGATGAGCTTTGATGACTTCGGGCGCAGCCCCCGTGGTAACTGGTTCAGCCAGTTCATCCAGGCGGGTGTGGTTGTCTCGAAGCCACCGGAGCGCCTGTTGCAGCAGTTCAGAGAAGACTCGTTGGTTGTTTGCTACAATATGCAGCTTTTCTGTCACCTCCTGTTAATCAGCACGAACAAATTGTTAGTTGGGAGTATGCACGCATGAGGAAGTAGGTTTAGCGGATTCAGACGAATCATACAAGTTCGTAAGTGCAGTTCACATGAACTTGATTATGTGCATGTAATGTCAGGAAGGTTTGTGACGCATAATCGTATCCGCAAATGTTATGTGCGTGTTCTAAGGCCTGTGCAACCAAGTGGTCCTAATGCTATGCGCTAGGAGGGCCTAGGTGTCGAAACTAACCTTAGATACCGCTGTCGAGTGTTAAAACATGGAGCGAAAGTATAATTTCGTTTAAGATAATCAAGAACTAATAGTTACATTTTCCCACAATGATATGAGTGGGGCTGAGTTTTGCTGGATTAGAACACCTTTTGGGAAAGCATGACTATATGAAGTTTAATGGAAGCTACTCAAAACCAAATATAAGTAATTTCGTCGATTGTTATAGCAAATATAAATTTGGTTCATCGACAATCCCACCACAGAATGTGATATCGGAAAATGCCTGGCCTTCCTTAAAATGCACATCTGCCCTGTGACTCAAAGGCACTCGCGGCAATGTGGCGTAGTGGTTAACGTCTCGAGATTACACTCAGCACTGTCATGCAGGGATTTGCTAAGGCCTGGGCGAGGTCGAAACTACAGTCCACCCTGGATGAGAATAGCTTCTTATACCCACTTATATGATTGTGACAAATTCAACAACCA